CTATCTATCTATCTATCTATCTATCTATCTATCTAACTCTATAGTCTATAGTGCTATAGTCTTGCACACTCTGTATCAAGTCGGTGCAAGGTGAATGTTGTTACGACAATGACATGGCGCATGTAACATAATGCATGTATTGTAACTCAATGTTACGCGCATTGGACAGTCATGCAAGTCAGTGCAAAGTGAACCCTGTCTGCATGGGCCCGTTTATTCACCGCTGCTGCAGGGGTATGATTTTTTCATCATTTTTTGCCTTTCGCGATGTCAGATCCAATGTGCCCATTACATTCAGCATCCAAAGTTACATCTATTGAATGAGAATAGATCACAAAACTTGAATTCATATACATTTATTGTACATCACAGCAATTTTTGCATATTAAATGGTGGTTAATCACATATACATATATTAATTAAGTTCTCCTCAAACAGTTAAAAAAAACTATATTAATGTAGGACTGGCACAAGTTACATCTACAACTAACATCAACGTACAGATTATTCACGAGATCACAGCTAGGTTATATTTTAAGGAGATGTTTCGACATCTCAGTAATTAAGATGTCTGTATATATAATTATAATAGTCAGAAACATCTAACAAGTTAAATTGAAACTTCTTAGCGATGAACGCACTTGTTGAAATAATAACACTTTTGTATCTGACAACTGCAAAAACAATACAACTTATATGCACCAATATTTATGTGCAGAGATTAGAGGCATACATATTTTAAGGCAATAATTGCTCTGATTAGTACAAAAACCAAGACGAGATATACCCTTACAGCTAATATAAGGACATTAATAACCTACACACAAATTGATCGATGTATGTATTTACCTAACAATTTACACATAGCATTTTACCTCTCTGCAGCTTACGACGCAGTCAACCATCGAATCCTTACCAAAAAAACTATACCAGCAAGTGAAGGATGTGAGACTGACAAATCTGATCAAGAACCTGTTGGCAAACAGGCGGTTTCTCGTGGATCTCAATGGTAACTGCAGCAGATGGCATAGGCAGAAGAATGGCCTTCCACAATGAAGCATCCTGACTCCTCTGCTAGTCATATAACCTACGTGGACCATATCTAACCTGTAAGCAAGAAAACAAAATCAGCCTATACTAACAGCCAAGATGTGGTTTTAACAATGAGCTTAGTATAGTTTTCAGCAAATGCATTGTTATGTGCTGGAAAGAAACTATATATCTGTCTACAAACATCTTTGGTAGCTACAACTTAATTAATGGCTTTATATAACGTACAATTAATAAGTCCTCTACATCATATTTTACCTCTCGCATCGACAACTTTGTAATACAGAAATAGTCAAATAGATAGAAATAGGATAATTGCATAATAGCCTAAGTAGTCAGAGTACGGGACAAGCCTTTTGTGTAAACGCGCAGCTGACCTCGTACGCCATGTAGCGAACCATGCAGCGTGACCAGAACCTAAAACAATAGGAAGGCGCAGTATATATAACAGTTGTGCACGCAGCACGGGATATATAGCGGGCAGTCTCTACTATTTGCACTCTGACTCTACGAACGTGGCAAGAGATATTCGTACTGTTTACACCGTTGATGAAGACTACTATATATATGTAAGTTCATGTTTGTATGTCGCGTACACAGCTGTACACTACTGTTCACTATTACGGGCATATATATGTTACCGTCATTCCCCACCAGTAAATATGTGTGTGTTTGAAATACGTACCTTCAGTGTTGGCTAATTTATGTATAATGCGTACAGCGGTATATCTTAATAATATGCGCAGAACCCTAGACGATCACGGGTAACGAGATAGTAAGAGAATCATTATTACAACTTTAACAACCCTAGGGGTAGCCTGATGTGCAGGTGTGGTCCACATCTCAATTCCACACTTCCACCCTGTTGGTGTCATATCGCGTGAACATTCCATTCTAAAAATAAATAAAATATAAGATCAAAGCATTACATACGTAATAAGACATATTATAGCATATGACATTCATCAACTCATCACTGTTTATAGTAATCTGAATGTTTAGCTGTTTCTTTATATATACATATTACACTACTCAAGTATTGGGCAAAATATGTGCTAACTCTAGTGTCTGTACATCAACGGTATTTTAGAGCTTAATGAACACGTCATGCATTTGTTTTAAGGTAGATTCCACTATCATAATATTTATACCTTCCAGTAATAAGCATGCAACAAGCAGCGTTAGATGCAAGTGGGCCGTTTCAAAGCAACCAGTGCAGTATAGTTGCTCGAATAGCTGCAATCTGTGCATCTTATTGGGGGATCTTCAGCCCCACAAATGATGCATTGCTTCCCACGAGTCACCCTCTTGTACGCTGACAACAGAGATGGGCGGAGGTCAGCCCAAGCTCCCATCCTTCGCTGTCTAGCTGCCTGGTAGCCAGAATGAACTGTGAGGAATAATAGGTTGAATATAAACGATGAATAAACAAATTCTCTTCTCGCTTAACACTACGTTGGCGAGAGGGTCACAAGCCGACGCAATAGAATATTGTTCGGCATGACGTGCGCTGCTATTAAACGTAATATTATCTAACTTTTTATGATTCTTACCGCTTCTCTGTACTTCCACGCCTCGATTTATTATATGTGCGCTATCACTGAGCATTATCTTATTTTAACTTGTATTTCAAGGTAAATAGTAATTAAGAAGTGTAGCGATAGTTGCAACATGTAACAGGTGAGGTCAAATGTGGTAATACATTGTTTTATTTACGAAATTTTACGAAATTCAGAAAGCTACCAGGCATTTCGTATGGAAGGGTGTCAGGCTCCTACGACGTGTAACAGTCGGAGAGCCTGGTCGGTTTAGGCAGAGAGTAGCTAATTAAGTGATTACTGCGGACGATCGAGTATCAGTATGGTAAGCAGATGGAGCCATTTTCATTACGTGAATCCACCAGCATTATTATTATTAATAATAATGTGTCGGCTTAAGTTTAACCTAATACTATTACTAGTAGTACGGTAGTAGTAGCCTATAGCTCTATAGTATAGGTCTATTGCCCATCCCTTGCAGTGCCAGCAGCACCAGAAACACTGACACTATAGGCATATCAAAATTATCATCATCACAGGCTTCATGCTCACTGAAAAGGCTTTTCACCAACTGCTTATTGTCCACTTTAACAGTGAGCGACTTCTTGCTGCCACCAGCTGCACCAGTAATAACTCTCACTTTGAATTTCGTATATTATATTACTTTTGGCATTTTGTTAAGTAACAAACACACTTTCACGCATAGCAAGACGTCTTATACATAAGTCTTCTTTATTCTTGTTTGACTTTCGTAGCCAAAGCTGCATCTGACTACGTCAGATGAGCTAAAAACATATTAAACTTAATAAATAAATATTAGCAAGTAACAAAATATATGGTTTAATCTGTAATAGTATTTGTCATGATTTTTAGCTCATTTCTATTATGGACTCTTGATGTAATTAATCTTGCGGTTAAGCATTAGAGTCATCAAACGGCGACTCGAGTCCTGTTCTTTGACTGATATTGACTCGAGTGAACTCATAATGATCGAGTCAGAGTCAAGTCAAGTTATTTTCAATGGTGACTCGAGTCAAGTCAAGTCACAAGAAAATGCGATTCGAATCGCCTCGAGTCCGAGTCAGTGACTTGACATGTTACAACACTGAGTAGTAGTAGTAGTAGTAGTAGTACTAGTACTACTAAACCGACCAGGCTCTCCGACTGTTACACGGCGGAGGAGCCTGACACCCTTCCATACGAAATGCCTGGTAGCTTGAAAATAAACTACGAATTTCGTAAAAAATAAAACAATGTATTACCACATTTTACCTCACCTGTTACATGTTGCAACTATCGCTACACTAGCTGCAGCTATACTATTTAAACATTGTAAAACGCCATTCTGGATGTTATTATGTCTCTTTTTGTACGCGAAAATTCACGAACTTACGCTACTTATTATGGGATATCTATGGGAAAATGGCGGCGTTTTTTTAGTTTTATCTTATCAATTTATAAACAATTACTCGCTGACATGTAAGTACATGCTCAGTGATAGCGCACATATAATAAATCGAGGCGTGGAAGTACAGAGAAGCTGTAATAATCATAAAAAGCAAGATAATTCAATGTTAAATAGCAGCGCACGTGCTGGCAAACAAAATTCTAATGCGTCGGTTTGTGACCCTATCGACACGTAGTGTTAAGCAAGATGGCCGGAACTTGGGTTATACTAGTACTAGTAGTAATATATATAGTAGTAGTACTAGTAGTACTAGTACTAGTAGTAGTAGTGGTGGTGGTGGTGGTGGTGCTGGTGGTGGCGGTAGCAGCAGCTAATTTATTGGTCTACTCTAGGCAGGGGCTCAAATCCAGGGGGGGGGGACAGGGGGACATGTTCCCCCCACGATTTTTCAGAGGGATTTCCAAGAGGACGGGACATCATTATAAAATGCTTCCTGCCCCACGATTTTGGATCACCATGATTTTGTGTGCTAAGTGTGTTTGTGTGGTGTGTGTGTGTGTGTGTGTGTGGGGTGTGTGTGTGGTTTGTGAAGCTGCAGAAACCTTTTATTGTGCTGCTGATTAGTGTGTCAACGATGGGGTTTTCTTTCCGCTTTTTTTGCCAGCTTCATTTTCATTCAAGTGCATTTGATAGCCATACTAATGCATCATGCACACTTGTTTCTTGAATAAATTTAGTACCGTTTCTTTTTTAACACGTTTTTTTTCTTATATTAAATAATTTCTTATGCAGAATCATCAAGCAGATCAGTTATAGAGATAAGCTGCGGAACACGAGCTATATTCACGCAAAAAGGACACTGAGTAACTGAGCATCAGTTTTAATCAATGTAATTTTCATTGCAAAATTGATGATTATATATATACACACATATATTGATATGTACTGGACCAACGATATAACTAGAAACGAGCAGTTGTCGCCAACTACATGGTATCCCCCGTGATCTAGTATGAATAGAATATCTCTGTAAGCGACGAGAAGGCAGGCCCTAAAGTTAAATAATCACAAAGACAGAAGGTTTGATATAGACAACTGCGGCTGCCTCAGATGCGGCAAGTATATGAATCTGGTTAACCCTAGGAGGCCGAAGAGCGAAATGTAAAGTCGAACGCGTGAATGTCAAACTAAGGTCAAGCGCAAGTGGATGGTGTTTGGTATGCGCACAGACCTTCTCCCAAGATGTGCTAAGCATTTCAAGTTTGAAGTCGCGCCTAGGTCAATTAGGCGCTGAGTTTAGAGAGCCGGAAGAGACTATGATTGCAAGGCTCAAGTAAAGGCTGGCAATAAAGTCGAAGCTGACCTCGGCTGCCGGCAGTTTTACCCAGATCTCGCGATCAGGCTTCAAATTGGCATATAAAGCGATGCCCGTTATGGCTAAAGCAATAGACGCAAATCGTTTTTTGCGTGCGGCGCCGAGTCATCGTTGCCATGGTAACAACATTTTTTGCTAGAAAACTGTAACTGTGCTGGTTTTTACCCGATTGCTCATGGAATTTGGCACACAGGCTCCGCATAATAACATGTCCAACTATATTATATGGCTATATATATATATTTGATGACAATCATAAATTTAGTTACAAAAATTTTATACAAATCATTAAATTTTAGTTTATTTTTTAATTTAAATTAATCATAAATTTAAATATAAGATTTTTAATACAAATATAAAATTTCATGACAATCCGTCCGTGAAAAAGTGCAGAAGCTTACAGGTTCTAGAATATTTTCGCACCGAAAAATGTTGTACCATGCGCAACGATGACTCCGCCCACACCAAAAAACGATAGGTGCTCTTCGCCTTTACCGATAACGCACCTTCATTCGATAATTTGAAGATGATCGAGAAGAACTGCCAGCCGTAGCAGCGTTCACAAGGCAAATCTCTACGGCGGCGCGGCCGGCGGCGGCGCGACGATGCCCAAAAACCCATAGTATCCCACGAACTTCGTCGGGTGATACACATTTAACGGAGCAGCCAAGTTTATTTTCGTTTGATCAAAGCCGGCTCAACAGCCAAAATGATTGGTATTTCTGCGTTTTTGTGTTCTTCGATTTATAGACTGCATCGACTGCGCATACCCTTCCACAAACCAAATGCATGTGTGTGTGTGTGTGTGTGTGTGTGTGTGTGTGTGTGTGTGTGTGTGTGGCTGTGTGCAGGGGCGTGTACAGGGGGAGTCCAGGGGTCCGGCCCCCCCTGCTCGCGCAGAAAACGCATCTGAGGGGGTCTAATTTCAACATTTTTCGGGGGGAGGGCTCCCCAGACCCCCCCTTCGCGGGCTCGCTACTGGTGTCCCCCCACATCTCAAAATGGATTTGCGTGCCTGACTCTAGGCAGTAACTGAGTAAGCCAGTAGGCCTATACAGTATACTATTACTATACAGTATACTATAGCTTAGGATATTAATTAGGTTTAATATTAGGGTTAGGATTAGGAGATTAGAGAAAATCACTATACCGTTAGAAAAGCAAAAATGCAACAGCTATAATATTTAGCAAGGTATAAGGTATTTAACTTGGTATACTATCTACCTTTTAATAAAAGAAATTACCTGTTTTGGCATAGTGATTTGTGTACAGATCACTGCATGCGGGTTTTTGACTCCAATTCCACTGCCATCTAACGAGTCTTTTGTGCATTGCCTGGGTCTTTTTTGAATTTCAAGTTTAATTAAAGTAATATCGCTATATTTCTTAAAGTAACGCTATATAGATACTATAACAAAGACGAGATCGTTAATTAAAAATATTTTGGTCCTAAACATCCGGATAAAACAATTTTAACAAATGCGAAATATTTTTACATGATATCTATCGCACCAGTGCCACTGGCACCAAAGACAAAGTCAATAAGAAAAACTATTTCAGGGAATAGTCTTTTGTTAGGTTCTACAACAATACACATAGTCGTTGCATTTATTCATTTTAAGTGAATTAACTAAGTGAAGAGAAGTTTATATAATATGTACAGTACACAAACAACAAGTAATTTCAGCTATCGCCAACGTAAGCCACGATGTAGTCCAATATATACAGATCGCAGCCGTTGGCCACCAAAATAAGAAATGCTTGACCATCAAAACCAGAAATTGTAACATTGATAACACATCTAATATGTAGATAGTTACTAAAAATTCTTCTTCTTAGAGAAAATACAGCCTGTAAGCCATTAAGTGAACGAAGTGGCGGCATTGAACCGCCATTTTTAGCGATAAATATGAGCCTAATTCTACAATACACAGTGTATTGTTAGAAAGTATTCAACAATACACAGTGTATTGTTGAAAGCTCGCTAACAATACACAGTGTATTGTCAGATACAATACACTGTGTATTGTTAGTTACCAGGATTATCTGGTATACGAGCTTCGCTGATGGATCGGGTGTATCCTGTGCATTGTCGGTGATGATAGCGAACCTACAAAGCAGTACTCCATCAATATACCTAACGAAAGTTATTGGGAAGGTTATTGTAGCGCGCGTGTGCCATTCATATATCGTCATACACGTGCGAATATCAATAAACGCACTTTTTTACGTTTCGATATTTGCATCACTATATCAGAGCATGCAGCCCTTCCTTTAGTGATTACTAATAAAATACTAGATGTATATTGCTGTCATGAGCGCTTCCCCGTAGTGGTTGTGTGTGATATGCCATCGTCGATGTCTATAATTACTGCATCAGAACAGAGCAATAAAAATTACTAATTTACAAAGAGAAGCATAACAACCGTTATAGGTATAATACAGTACGCCAGAACTCTAACGTAATACCCTAGTATATAGTATATATATATAATATATATACAGTAATTATAACCTATATCCATAGTTATACGTATATAACTATGTATGAATCAGTTGCTTGCTTTACGGCTCTGTTTTCATACGGCCGTCGGCCTGCCGATAATCTCGGCTCCGGCCCGCTGATCGCGTCCATGCGCTGTACTCGGCAGGACTTTCTGGCTGAGGTTCCGTAACCCGTCGCGGACCGAATTCACCGGATATACTAACAACCAGAGAGCAGAACCATGGAAACAGTCAACGTGTGGCGTGTGCTGCAGCCCCTCGCAAAGGAGACGCGATATATTTCTCAGTCAGACCAACGACCGGTCAGGTAATTAAGGTGATACATGAGCATCGCACACACGATAAATGTAATGATGAAACTAGACTGCAGTGTGCGCGTATAGGTTCACACTGTCGAAACTATATTGTATAATAGAGACGCTATTGGAGAGTTAAATCGATAAGTTTTGTCATAGGCAAGACCAGCACGCACGCGGTGCTCACACGATACTTGGATATATTAATTTGTTACACTGAAGTGCTGAATAAATCAGTATAACAATACTCAGCATATGCCAGTATATGCGAGTATATATGCTATAGTAAACAGTACTCATGCATCATATGCCACGTTGATACAATAACAATTACTCGTCAGTTACAACCAGGGAGCCGTTGTCAGAAACATCGTAAAGTTAAGACTAATGTTAATGCTAAGATAACACTAACGACTAATGTTAATGTTGTGAGAATATCGTTCACAGAAACGCATCACAGCTATGAAAAAACTTACGATGACTGAAACTTCATAATTTGCTGTGACAAGGCTGCTGATTGGATGAGAATAGATAACAACACTTGAATTCATATACATTTCTTGTACATCACAGCAATTTATGCATATTATGGTAGTTAATCACATGTCATGAAAAAATGTCATCATGTTTTTACACATCATTATGCAAAGCAACACAAGACGCGAGCGTCATAACTCATAAACATATCCAAAACAAGACAACAATCGCCACTATCTCTCTCTCTCTCTCTCTCTCTCTCTCTCTCTCTCTCTCTCTCTCTCTCTCTCTCGCTCTCGCTCTCGCTCTCTCTCTCTATATATATATATCTATCTATCAAGAGCTAATAAACACCTAAAATAAGATATGTATATCATACTGTGATACACATAGATGTAAACATTATCTTATCTTGAATCACAAAGTTACAGTATCAGCAAAATTTTGGGAAAGAGGGAAACATTTTTGACTTGAGAAATATGGCAAAGAAATACATTTCTTACACCAAAGTATTGACGGCCATATTTTATATAAAAGTACTCCTGAGCATATGCGCTCTATCCGTTTTTAATTTCAACACATTCTCATATGCATATATGTTGAGAAAATTAAGGGGTCCCTGTTCTGATCTAAGGAAGGTAATGCATTGCACATTTCTTATATAATCGAACTCATACCTATATTATCTCTCTATTTTAAATACATAATTCCAAGAAATGGTAGAGATACGCACGGAAATTGGGAGTTAGTTGATTATTATTATATTTACAATTATTATAATTACAACATTTATTATTTCTAATTGCTACAGAGTATGTGATCACTGCAGCAGAATATATATTTTCAGCAAAATTGTATGCGAATATATTTCGGTTTTCATGCGCGACATTAGCGCCGACCAACGTTGAAGAAAAATTGTAATAATTTTATTCCGCATTGCTGCGATCGAGATGAGAAGGTCGGACTTCCCTCTTAGCGCCGAAGAACCGCCTAAAGAAGTGCACACCATTCCAGTTCATTTGTTGTTTTTGTAGGTGGCGACGGCGGTGCAGTGGCAGTGGCAGTGAAGTGCAACCCGCAGTGGCAGTGGCAGTGGCAGTAGTAGGAGTTTTTGTATTTATAGATTTTCCGATAATACACTAGCGATGTGTCAGCTTCGAGTAGTCGCTCCTCCCACCGGATAGCGACGTCCAATCACCGTGCGCGCGGTTGCTTGGATCACCGAAAATCGATTGCGACAAACGTATAAAAGATGCGTATTATCGAATCCCGGCAGTCCACCCTGACGTTATCTATCCGCGCCGTCTTCGCTGCAGCTGTTCTGATGCGCTAACGGTGGAATCTTCAGATACGTTACGAGATGCACTATTTGTGTCTACCCATAGCATTAGCAGCAGTCACCTGGAATATGCGTACAGGTATGCATACGCAAGAGTTTTCTGCAATTACACAACTTTATTTTGTTTTATTGTTCGAATGTAAATTGTA